CAGATCAAACCTCTTACCTTCTTTGTTCTGAAGCAGTGGTGCTGAGGGGAAAATCACATAATTGCATAAATTGTTGTAAGGTAAGGCTTAACAATAACTTCAGAAAGTTCTAACTAAATTTGTTTTGCCAGGAAATGACAGAAGTAGTTCTGAGCTTTGCTGAGCTGCCTCCTTGCTGACAAAGGAGAAATATAGCTAAGGAATATGTAGGAGGAATGACACTATTTGGCTTTCTAGTTTTGCTTTACAGTTTGCATGACTATTATGAGGAAGCTTCTGGCTTAATATATAGTAGCATTTCACATTCCTGACAAGCTGTGCTCTAAATATTTGTTGCCCTATTCAGATTCATAGGAGCTTTTGATCTACCTGCACTATGAACTTTTATTGAGCTCTCCTTTTAAAACTGGAGATGTTTCATATCTGGGGATGGTTGGATGACATGTCTGTGGCATACAGTTATGTCCAAGCCAGTGGCCTAAAACTTCAGCACTGTCACAATTTGGAAAACACAAAAAACTGTGAAACAAATTATTCCTTCTGATATAAATGTTCATGCCTCTTGGTAATGGACCAAAGAGTCACAAACTTTGTTTAGCTGTTGGAGTGTGCCAGTTTCCATCTGTCTTGCAGCACTTGCTGAAACAAGCTGACTGTGGAGAATAATTGCCTGTACCGATCTGATAAACTCTGTGGTTTGGGAAACTCTTCTCTTACACAGGAGAAGCCTTTGAAGGACTGGCTGTCGTGTGCTTGGCTTGTAATTGCAGTGGCATGTAGGAGGAGAGAAACAGGAAGAGATGAGAAAGAAACAGCTTTTATAGCCTAGAACCAATGACTCCTGTGAAGAAGCATCATGTCCACTGGAGGGATAAATAAGCACCATGAGCAGCAGCACTTGGTGTCTGCTGTGCCACTTAATCTCTATGAATTGACCCAGATGGTTGGATCAACTGCAGGCTTGATGCATTTTCTGTCTTGTAATAAATATGCTAAGGAAGAAGCAGAAATAATAGAACCTCTTTGAGCACTGACATGCCATTGGGTTTTCATAAATCCCTGGAAGTGTAATGCCGGCAAATTAATATTCATAAACCAGGCTATTAAAATTTTAAGAGAACCTTGAGGGGATGATGATGTCAGATTCCAGAGTTAATTATAGAGGTGGTAAAGTTCTTGGCTAACTAGGCTGAATATACTCTCACAATAGTTTTAACACAACACAACAATCAGAGGGAGCCACAGTGTTGGATGTAGGTTCTCAATCTCTTAATATATTCCTTGAACTGAAAGTCTAGCAATTCAGGGAAGAGGAAGTATTTACATTTAGCTACTGTGGAAATAAATCAGCTTCTGGAGGTTGAGTTGCTTTTTGTCTTTCGGGCTTATTTTTGTCACTGAATTGTTTACAGGTTTTGGCTCATTCATTTGTCATAAATTGCCCTGCAGGGCTGGACTGCCCTGCTGTGGTGGCTCCCTTGAAAATAGCCAATTGTTATGTGCAATCAGTAGTGTTCATGAGCCTTATTACAGGGAATACCAGTACTTGACTAACTTTACTTACTCAAGGCAGCAATCAGTTGCTATTGCATTTTTTGACAGCATTGATTAAAACTGTGGGAGAGATGCCAATCCCTCATATTTATTAGCTCTCTTGGCTAGAGCATGGTGCTAATAACCATGGTTGTGAGCTCACAGCCCCTATGGGCCATTCAGAGTTTAGAGTTGGACTCAATGATCCTTGTGCGTCCTTTGCAACTCAGAATATTCTGTGATTCTTTCTATGGCGTTGTAATAGTGCATTGGGCAAAACTACTGAACATGATTGTAGCTACCCTGGAATCAGGTGGTTAAAGTTTTAAATCGTGGGATCTTACTGTAATTAATGTTACTGTTCCACTTCTAATAATATTTCCTTTCTTAAATAGAGAGGGTCAAAAGGAAGAACACATTACTATGTTTCTCAACTCTAAACTTGTACCACAAAACTCTTTTAATTGCATAATCCATAGAAAGAAGGGGAAGAAAATAATTCTTACATTTTTTTTTTCAAATGTTGTATAAAATTAAAATCTAAACCAGTTAACTTGGTCAAGAAACAGCTGAAAAAAACACTGTAAACATAGATTAAGCAGTTCTTAAATCCAAGCAAAAGGCCTGAAAACAACTGTGAATTTTGAGACAGATTAAATAGATTCTGAAGGTTTAGGATTATTTAAAAAATCGTTCCAACTTGCTTTGAAATTGAAATCTTTCTTCTTAAGAGGCAACTCTTCAGCAGTCAGTAAGTCTAATAGAGATGCTTTGTGACCACGAATATGCAAAAAGTCTTCGATTTTGAAACACATTTTATGAGAAATAATACTCCCAAGACCTCTCATCAGTTCTGGGAGTGCAACAGGAAATTGGTAGTGTCTAGTGAGATGTGATGCAATTTTGAGAGAAGGAAAATAACCTCAGCTTTCAGCAGCCCTTGTTGTAGGGTGACTAAAGAGGCAGTGGCTGCTTTTGGGTGTAAAACACAGGCTGCCTTTTTGACAGAGGCCTTCAGAGTGCTCTGAGAGGAAAGCACATTTATTATTTGCCTAATCCTGCAGTTTGCATGATTAAGGAAGCATGAGGTCTTCCACACTGCTCAGTCTTGAGTCCTTTTCCTACAAGAGTGACTTCTGCCACAGAAACTGTCCTGCCTACCTTCTTCCTGTTTACTAAAGATGCTTTTAACAATGTGGTCTCTACATGAGATCAGGTGGGAAAATAAAAATATGCATCTGCAAGATGTATTTCATGATGGAAAACAAAGTTCAAGACTGTTGTGGATGAAAGGCTTTTGAATGTCCATGCTGGCAGCCAAAGCTGTGCTGATCGCACCCATGCAGGAGAAAGCAAAATTACTTGTCACAGAGGAAGAACTGAACAGATGCCAAACCTTCATCACAAATCTGTCCCCTGGAAAGAAAAACTGTGTTAGTTGGAAAGCTAGGCTTTTCTTTAGCAAAATAATATTTCAATAAGTATTTCCCCTTCTTTTCCATATTGACCATCCATTAGAGGATGGATATGAGTGGTTCCTATCATATAAGCCAGATGTTTCTGTGAACACTGTGGTCTAGAAAGGTTGGAAGTGAGAGACTGGCTTGGTGGTGGTGGTCCACCCAGCGCCAGTGCTGGGGTCAGCAGTGAAGTAGATATTTTTTCCTCAGTTCAACAGCACTGAGCCAATGCTTCAGGAGCATAGGGAAAACTGCAAGCTAAAGATTGTGCAGAGTGTGAACTTTAACTCCTGGAACAAAAAGGTTTTTTTCTGAAGAGGATGAAAGTACCTTTAAATAGATACCTCCTCTTTCTGTTTTGCTTTCATGCCTTTTTGTATGGTTCCTGCATCTGACCTTGGCAATACTAGAGAAGAAGAAGGTAGGGAAGAAAACCTGAATGGCACTTAATGGAGTCTCTCTTTCCAAAACAAAAAAGAAAAATTTCTGAAGATATGTCAGCTTTTCTAGCTGAGTTTTTTTCGGTGTGAGAGAAACAGGCTGGAGAAAGAAAATGCAAGCAGATTCTGATCTTGAGGTCAGGTTATAACTTCAAATTCTTGGGGTCTGCTCTTCTCACTTGGCCTCCTCTGCCTCTAATGTTCCCAAGGTCCCTGGGAGAGAGGAGTATCAGGAAGATGACTGGCCTCAAGTTTTACTTCCATTTATTTTTGTCAAAGTGGTCAGCGTCTGTGTAAAAATAGTCTCTTCTCCCTGTCTGTCGGAAGAAGGGGGATGTGATCTTAAGGAGCCATCTTGCTCCAGGTACTGCTGGGAACCAGCAGAGTGCCAACCAATGTGGGGGCTGCCCCGAATTCCTGCATTTTGGTACATTGATGGTATGCAGTTTGAATTTTACATGAAGTCATTTGTCAGCACTTCAGCCAGCTCCTGTCCCCCTCCCATCCATGGTTAGTGCTGCCTGTGCCTTGCACGACTGTGCCCTCTGATTTGGAGCTGGTGCTTGTGCTCCAGAGCAGGTACACTGCAGTCCTGAAGGTAGCACTGTGCTACAGGCAATACGTGTCCCAAGGAGTGCAGCTGCGTGAGCCGCAAGCTTTGTGGGATTTGTATGGAGCCCTGGTCTGCGCCTTCTTCCTTTAATGATTAATGAACAATTACAAAGGGGTTTTTTGTTTGTTTGCTTTTTTCAAACCGTAAACCCCACGCTTGTTTTTTTGTTCAAGGAGCATATGGCTGTATTGACTGTGCAGAGCTGCTGCTCATTTTGCCAAGTTGTTGTTAGCTTGCCTGTGGCCAGGCAGCATCTCTGAAAAAGCCCTGCCTTGCTTGCTCCCGCATTGTTTCCAAATAAAGGCATGTCTGAAACGGGAGTTAAGCCTTCAACCGCCGGACCTTAAAGAAAGGACTTTTTACCCATGGATTGAAAAGAGGTGATTTTTCTACAACAAAATACTCCTTCCCCACCCCCTTCCCTTTCTCAAATTAGATGAAAAAAGTTGCTTTAAAATTTAAATCATGCAAACTGCATGCTTTAAGCTCATTCTCCCTGGCAGACAGTTAGGGAACCTAACCATCAGGTCTGAAGTCACCTCAAACTTATTAAAATGTCCAGTCTATATATTTTATTATACATTAGGAGCAGCTTAAACAGAAAATGCTCATGTTCCTGGCAACCATTTAAAAGTGATCCTTTCCTCATCTATGTGAGGAATGGGGAAGGTGAATGACTACCTGTAATGCAAGGTAGTATTTGAGTGACTTTGGTTTTTTTATTATTTCTTAAGCCAGCAGTACTCTTTATCGTGGTTTAATTAAAGTTTGAAGTCACATAACAGCGTTTAACTGTGTATGATCTAAGGACATAGCTAACAGGAGGTTGTTAGGAAGAGGTAATTTATTAGACCAGCTGGTATGGGGGGAAAAAATGAGCCAAGCTTGCAGGCACACCAGCACTTCATCAGGTCTGAAATAGAAGCAACAGATTTCAAGGTTAAACAGAAGTTATGAAAAACTGCTCTGTTTAATCAGACATGCATAGAACTGCCAAAGAGGAGCTTGCTGGTATGATATTCCTTCAGTGGAGGGGGGAGGGTGAGAAGATGGTTGTTATACTGTAGAAAGAGATAAGGACTTCACTGCCTGTTAAACAGGGGGAGGCTATAAAACCAGTACCTGATGAGCTCATGACTGTTCTTCGTATCTTGGGGATAGGAAATTTTAGTTCTTCATCCTCTCTTTGTAAGGTTTTAGTTTTGTAGGATTTTTGAGAATCGTGATTGACACATAAGTTGTTTGTAGATAAATAGTTGGTTTTATCTAAAGGAACTTAATCAGACAAATATAGTTTCAGGCATTCTTTGTCAATTGGTTGCCATCCTTAGCCTACACTGCTGACTTAAGAAGTTGCTTAACACCAAGTTCATATTTGTAAAGATAATGGCTGAAAGAAAAAACCCCAAACAACTAAACCTCTACTGTTTATTGGTATTTACTTCTAAAATCTTATCAAATCTATTCTAACAAAAGGCCCTGAATACTAGTAGGCTTTTTAAAAATCTATTAGTCAAGCAGAAGCCAAATTCAGAGTTGAAATGTTTTAAAAAAACAGGTTTCAAGGCTTTGTAGAATAACAATGCTTTACTTGTGCTGCTATCAGAGTTGACAATGTGCTGTTTCTAAGAATTGAATTAAGTTGTGTTATCAATGTGGTTTCAATACAGATCTGATGATGCACTCAGTGTCAATATGTATTTCACTGTACACTGTGGAGAGCAGAGGAGAACTCTTGGTACTCTTTAGAAAAACTTCTCAATATTTTTCTGTAGTGCTGTATCCTAAATTGATAAATATTATAGTTAAAGCAATGTCAGATTAAGTATGTTGAAGCAGAAGTCACAGTTTTCTCACTTGCTCATCTGACTTCCTAGTTATGTTTGATGGGCTGTCTGTACAAATGCCCTCTAAATTAACCTCTGTATGTATTTTAAAGTTATAGTATCTGCCTTTATCATTCAAGACTGACTTTGAGTATCAGTTATAACGGTCACTGTTGTAGGGGTGTCAGGAGTCCAAGGAATCAGCCTGTTCATTTTTCTGAGTCCCACTGCTGTATGTTAGGAGGGCAGAGCTGTTTACTCAGCTGTGTCCCGTTTGTACAGCAGGGGCTGGGTAGGTAACCCTGGAATTTAACCCAAGCCCTGGGTAGGTGGAGGAGACCAGAAAAGCTTAATCTAATTCAGATAAATTATTTGCTAGGAAAGGGTATAGCTGTATTAGCATTTGTCTTTCTCTGCCAGAAGACAGCTTCCTCTAACCTGCTGAACCAACAATTGGAAAAATGTTGTCAGGTATTGGGAGCAGTTATGCAGCAAGTGGGATATATTGAGGGAGAGACTGCAGCATCTTCATGATACTTGATGTTGCAGGATATGGCATAGCTGTGTCTTGGCTGACTTGAAGGTAGTTTTATGGAAACTTGTGAAGATTAAAGTATGTTAAAATATCCCTTCCATGGGGTACTTGACTCACAGAGCTCTTTGGTCACATGGCTAGCATTGGAGTTAAGATTTTTGTGGTTTGCTCTCAAATTTGTCAAGAATTTACCTGTAATTAGTTGTGAATGCCCTTTACCACTACCACTTTAGCAGTTTTACCACTGCTTTAGGAACCTGTCTTACGAGTCTCAGGAAGTATCCTGAACAGCTACACTGGACACCAGATCCCCCTCAGACTGGTCTCGAGGGATCAGTGGTATTGAGCGTGGCCTCTCTGTAGCAAGTTCATAGGGAAGGTAATATTAGAAGCTAAAACTAATATATTAATATTTGACCAAAAAGGAGTATAGCAGTATTAGACTGACATGTGGTGTGGAACAAGGTACAGAGAAGCTGTAATCTGACTGGAACTTAATGGAGTATGATGGCTCGGTTCTAACAGATAGGGGCTTTGTACATTGATTCCACATTGTGCAAGTAGTTTTATTAATGGCAGAGGTAGCCAGCATGATCTATAAAGTTGAAATATGAGCATTTATAGGACTCTATTCTGATTAATTAATAATACTTGTGCTTGGAAAAAGAGAGAATTAGCTGGCGTAACACTTGATGGGATTAAGAATGGGAAGATGAAAAAAGTTAGTTGAAGAAATTCCTGTAGATGGAAATGGGTTAACTGGATATTCTTCCAACACCATTGGACCCCAAATCTGTTCTGAGATCTTCTTTTCCAACCACTATCTCTTGATCGGGATAACTGAAAGGAAGCAAAAGGTCTGCTGCAGTCTCCAAATTTAAAAACCTAAAAATCCTGTACGGAGTCCACACTTGTTTATTTTTCTCACAGTAAAGGATATTAAAGTGGAAAAAAGAGTCAATGAGCAGAAGCAGTTAAGCCCTGTAGATAAGAAAAGAAAAATTAAATGTTAGTTTTATTTTTGTGTAGTGAGGGATAAATTTGTTACAATATTTAATTATGTTTGCTATTGGATGTTCCCATTACAGTATTTTCCACAAAGTAGTGATAGTGGAACACCCTCAGTGGTTTGCTTCAAGGGACTGGAAAAAGAAACACAACTAACAGTATGACTTCCACAGAGAAACAACTTTTGAAATAAAATGTGAGAGCAGTCCATGCTAGATGTAGATTTCTAGCATTCCTAGAGCTGATTCACCTTGGCATCCCTCAGTTTACTCCTTTTTCTCCTCCCTGCCTTTCTGTTTTTGGAAGTAATTTTTTAGATTACTTACCAAGTTGCCTGACTTCTGCTGTTCTTTGCATCCTGGTTGCAAGACAAAAAAGACAGGATAGGTGAGTTGTGTGTTTATTCTGACATAAAATTTTCTAATAGTCAATAGATGAAAAAAAAAGTCTTAAAAAACCCATCCTAGCCAATGAAACATTTCTTCCCGTAAAACCCACTTTCTTTGCAGGTGTGTTTTATGCACCCACAGACACAAAAGTACTACGAACTGGATGCTCTCACACTGTTCCTCATAATGACTTGCAAGAAGTAATGATGATACTTAGCCAAAAAAAGCCCTCAAAAAAGGAACCAGTTAAGAACTTACATATGCCAAATTGTTTAATAGGATACTTTCACACATATGCACACATACCCTTGAGGGTAGAAAGTGAGAATTTGACTATAAAAATGAAATTATGCTATCCAAGTGAAATCCCTATATAATGTCCTCACTAGAGCAGTCCTCTAGTTTTCTTCAGCCTTCATTAAATAGCATTCTAGTGTTCCAGATCTCCTTGGATAGAATTTTGTTCTTTTTCTGCAGATTGTGTACTAATGCAACTCCTGGACCTAGTCCAGCCTGTGCTGACTTTACATCTAGACTTTGGATATAAGCTGCTGATTATGGTTTCAAACTTCTCAGGAAACAAAAATAAAGAGCTCGAGAAAATGTTGCAGCTTTTCACAGTGATCTCATGCATGGCCACATGCTGTCAGGAATTTAAAGTTTCTTATGCTGGGTTTTAATGCAGGCATACTTTCCATGGCACTCTGAAATACTGCTGCAGTTTGACTTACAGCCACTGGCAAACAGTGTATTTACAAGATAGTCTGAAAGTCCTAAAATGTAGCCCTCACTGAGCCTTTTATTTTTGTTTACTTGACTATTTATGAACTTGATTTTTTTAAGTCAGAGCAATCTATGTGTGTGCTCAATGGCACTACAAATTGTTAAATCATTTAGAGAAGCTGCTGAATTTTACTTAACCCTTCTACTGCTGTATTTTATTCAGTTTTTCCATTAGCACTTAAAAGTCAGGCCAGGTATAGAAAGACAGTGAGGAAAACAAGCATCTTGCTTGCACTTCAACATCCTTTATGTGAAATGTAGATACAGAACTTAATAGTAAATATGCCTAATACATACAATAGTAAATATGCCTAATACATACAGTACTACTACAAATAGTAGTGCTGGTGGACCAAAATGAAGTTCCCAAACGGCTCCCAGAGGCTCCCTGGTATAGGAAGGAGGACTGTCTTCATGCCATAAGAATTCTTTTCTGTAGACTGTGAGGAGGAAACTGTGCTCACCATAAACTTGGTGCATGAATTTTATGTGTGTCTGTGCAGTAGATGCCCTGTCAAGGTCCTGAAGCTCATGAACCTTTCATTGCTTGAGTCAGAAACCATGGGCCCAGCCTTTATGGTGCGTGTGAGGATGATGGAGCATGTAACAAGAAAGCTTCTTAGGGTCCCTGTACACCAAAATTTCTCAAGACTTGCAATGTCTCATTTCTCCTGAGAACTGCAAGGTCCTGGGTTTGGACAAAGTGTGGTGTGGTGGCAGAGAGGTCTTACTGCAGAACATACCCCTCTTCCCTGCTGGGGTTTGCAGCCCCTCCTGAGGTCTATGCTGCTGTGGCATCTGAACATTAGCTGAGCATTAGGCTGTCTTCACACATGACAGGGCCCTAGGGACTGAGCATTCTGTTGCATCACCTGGCACAGAGCTGTGTCCCACTGGGCTAGGAGACATTGCACTGTGTGTGCCTGTGATTTTGATGATTATACACTGTTCCTCAGCAGGGGCTTTGCCTCCCTTTTAGACAAATGCCTTGCAAGGAAAGGTATTTTTTCTTTGCCTTGCAAGGATTTAGTCCAGCACCCTTTCCGTAACTGGTTGTTGGTGTATTACTGTAATAACCAATGGCCATTAAGACATCAAGGGAGTCCATTCTTTCCAGCTCTTAGTTTGTTCAAGCTGCCTGTCTTTTCTCTTTTTTAAGGGATGTCTCTTTCCATTACACATGCTTAGTGCCTTTCTTCAAACAGTGCAGCATTCCTGTGATGCTATTCATGGGACAAACAAGTTGACTGATGAAGGGAATTTACCTGCAAGAAAGAAAATGTCCAAGAGTATCAGCGTGCTTACACTGTGACCTGCTAGTTGTTGGCCTGCTTCATACTGTGCTGCTGAAGTTAAGCTTTGTGCACTGCAGTTGGTTCAGCTCTCACTAATACACCTCCTTCATTTCCTATGATCAGTTCTCTCCTAATAAAGTGTGCTAGGTTGGACAGACCTTTACCGAAATCTCCTGGAGAAGGAAAACAAAATCCTTCTCAAAAAGATGGCCAGGTTTGTGGAGGAGCTGAAATGAAGTGGGTTAAGAGAGCCAGGGAGGAAACTGGATCTCCAGTGGGAGAATCTGCAGTGGCAGCAAAAGAGCCAGGGGAAAACTGAAAGTACATTTGGGAACACGGAAGAATAGAAATACAGTTTTGGGGATTACCCATAGTATGAGGTACAGGAGGAAGGTAGAACTATACAGAAGACAGGAGAAATAAAATCAGAAGTGAGGGATTGACAAGGATGAGAGCTGGGAGACTAAAAGGACTAGAGCTGGAAATAGTGTTTTAGTGTTGGTAGGAGGAACTTTGGGGCAAATGCAGTTGAGCTCCTCCGTTTGTCATTAAAAGCTGAGGTGTGACTGAGAGCTTCTCTCTAGCCATCACATGGCATCAATATTGCACCATCCCTGGGGGCTTTTCTCTATATGCTTGAGAGGTGGCTCTGGGAACCTGGGCTATAACAAACCTCTTGGCTCCCCAAGCAAGTGCCCTCGTTCTTTCATTTCCAGGCTGTTTTCTCTGCTCAATTCATTTCAACAAAGTCATGATGTTTTACTTTTGAGCTTGAACTGACCATCTGTGGACCAGGGGAAGAACCTCACTGAGTGTGGAAAATGTTCTCCAGCCTTAATTTAAGCAGAGGTCTCATGTGAGCCATTATTCTGTTCTTTCAGCATCACCTTTGATATGCATATAAAGATTTTGCTGAAATTGCTTTTCTAGCCTGTTCTTGAAAAATTCAATGAGAACGTTATTCCCTAGCACTGTACCAGTTGGGTTTAACTGAGTCCAGTAATTGTGCTTTGTCCTGAGCAGTGAAAAAGCCAGGTTTCTTCATGAGGGTGACTTCCTCACCACTTAGGTATCCTTTTGCATTTAAAATATTCAGAACACAGATTTTTAAAAAAATGTTGGTTCTACTTTTCCCCCGTCTTTAGCACAGGGGAGGGGAGATACTGCTGTATTTCCTAAAGTCCTTCCTGAAGCCTGTCTTGGAATTCATAATGTCTGTGAGCAAAGATGAAAAATGGGAGTGTTAAAATGGAGAAAAGTCAGCTGTAACATTACCTCCCATTTAAAATTAAAACTGTGAAAGCATAGAAGCATTCAAAAGCCTTTGCTTGTGTGCAGTTACACAAGTGATCCTAAATTAACTGGTGTCAAATAAGTAGTCACCTGTGAGGGTGTCAGAGTGTTCCCTTCTGGATGTGCCTGAATTTATTGAGCTTCTCCTTTTGAACCAAGATAAGTAATGTTCCCCTGCTACGTTGGATTTGTCAGTGTGTATTCAGAGAGACTTGAAATGAATGGGTGAACTCATTTCCTCTAGCAAGCAGTGCAAATCTGATAGCTTTTCTCTCATCCCAGCCTGAAAGTCTGTGAAATGTCTGTGAAATGTGACTGATTTTCATAGTTCAGGGCTATCTTGACTTCTTCCTAAAACTCTTAACAAGCCTAATGCTCACACAGCAGTTCTTCTCATTCCTTGTGTGTTGTTTAGTCTCCTCCAGCATTCATTATTAATATTCATAAGAGCATATTGTGCTGCTGATCTAAGCAAATGGGACACAAAGTGAGTTGGCTTGTTTTAGGACTTGCCTTTGTGTAAGCATGCCTGACTGGCCCTTTTTTGAACACGTGTGCCAAATTTCTTTGTATAAGTGAAGTGTATTTTGGGTGAAAATAGACTTCGAGCAGAAAATCAGCAATTCTGACCCAGGAGCTGTGTGTGCACCTGGGCACAGCTTCAGCCCAAAATGATCATGGCTATGGTTACAAACTATCAGTTGTTTTTTTAACATGTACTGTTTTAAGAGTGAATGGACCATATATTTTAGCTCTTTTAATTACAATAGCATGAACCCCAGGTTCACAGCAGGAACAGGACATAATTGTGGTAGTTTGGTTACTTCAGTGGGGTGATAATCATAGTTTAGTTTTACTCCCTGTGCTCAAGACAGTTTTCTAGCTGAATCGTATGATAAATACACCATTATATCTGATAGTATTAGATAGGTATTTAACCTTACGAAGAGTTTTTGATGAAGGATGGAAATGCACTGTCTGTACTGACCTGAAGGGAATGGCCACTGTGCGTGGTCCCTCGCAGGGCTCTGGTGGCAGTGCTGCTGTGCTGCTGTGACCTGTGCTGCTCTCCTCTGCCTGCCAGCTCTCACCGCAGAGCACTCGGGCTTTCCTCACTCTGCTGGAAACAGGGTACGGCAGTATCCAAATCGAGCATCTTGAAGTTAGTTACACCACTTAGGAGTGGTGTAAAGGAGAAAACAGACTGAATCACAAGGGAAGCAGCAGAAGACGGGGTTTTTTTATTTGACTGGTTAGCTATTTTCATGGAGGATAAATCATTGCTTTTGAAGCCATCTGTCTCAATTGCAGTGAATCTCACCATAACTGATCAAAAGTAATAAATAATTAAACAGTAGTGCTCAAATGAGTATCTCTGCCTTGCTTTCATCTAGTTCCCTTGGTTCTGTTTGACAAGTACCTGTCTGCTGCCTTGGAGCTGTGAGGGTGGCTGTTCGTACCTACGCCGCTGCCCTACTTCTGAGCAATTCATGCAGTGAGAAACCTGATTATTTTTTCAGCCAAGTGGTCCTACAATGCGCTGCGGTGAAAACTGTACCTGCGCTCCCTGCAGTTTTATGCCGCCTGCGGTGAAACCAAAGCGTGTCCCCCTCAGGTGTGAGCGGTGGCCGGGCTTCGCCTGCCGAGCAGCGCGGTGTACCGAGCCTCGGCCGCCGCGGCTCTGCAGGCGGCCATGGCGCAGCGGCGGCCCGGAGCGGGCCCGGAGGCTCCAGCTGCCGCCGGCTCGCAAGGTAAACACTGGGTGACCTATAAGGCAGCCAGTCAACTCGAGCGTGGCCTTATACGGCAAGCTGTGGAGCCGTGTCTGGGGACGGAACATGCTGGGGGAGACGCGCAGCCCAGAACGGATCCAGCGCAGGCCCCGGGAGATACGGCCCAGTTCTGTGGCCGTGACGGCGACGAGCTGCTGCCTGAGCCCAGCTGTCACTGCGCTCTGCCTGGCAAATATCAAGAATTATGCTAGAGGTGGCTTTAAAAATTGAAATCATTGTGTGTAAATCTTAGTAGCTGTACTTCTCTTCTTGATGTGTTTTTTACGTGCTTGGTTATAACCTTAGGACGCCAGTTCACACTGTCAGTCCATATACTGAAACACTTTGTGGGGGCCTTTGCTGGGAAGTGTCTTCATTCCTTGCCCTGCCTGCTTTCAGAGGAATACCTGGACTAAGAGGAACTAATTTATATTTTTTTTTACAACTTTTGGACTTGTTTTTCCTCTCCTTATTATGCAGCTCTGTGCCCTTTATTGGCAAACTGATTTTTACTGGATAAAGCAATTATCTCACTTCCAGAAGGGGGATATTGGCACCCACCATCTGTGTACTGACCGGGACTAAGCTAGGTTGCTTCGTACCCACCTCATAAAACCTTTCACGTGGAAGAAGCCTTTAAAAAATTATTTGTTTTTCCTTTAGTGTAATCTCCTTAGATTTAAACAAGCAGATGCTGTGCAAACTTTCCCAGGCAGCTCTGGGAAGGCTCTTCAGATCTGACTTGTGATTAACTTCCTGGTACCCCTCTGAGCACCAAGAATATTGGTGGCTTTTGCAGGGGCCTTGGGCGTGAATGAGGGCAATAAAGAGAAAAAACACTACAGCTGCCATGAATTTAAACCTGCTCTCTAGAGAACAGACTCCAGAACTGCAGCATCACTGGGTTAGATTTTCTTTCCTCATTAATTTTTGCTTAGCCATGCTGGTTGCAAATTAAGCCTGGTACATGTGCCTTTTTCGTAGTGCAGTGACAGTACTTGTAGTAAAGCTGTCCTACCTTGACCATCAGCTTTTGAATAAAGCATACCTTTTTTCTTTATTTCTTTTAATAAATATTTAATTTTCTAAAAAAGCATTGCAGCATGCTATAAACAGGATGGGAGCTGGGGTCATGGATTTCTTGTTTGCAAGAAATTTTTTTTTGCTGTCTGCCTGAGGCTTGATAAATTATATTTGGGGGTAAGTATGCAGGGATAGGATGTGGCCTGTGAAATGTCACATTGCAGTGGTAAACAAAATCGGTGTTTTCCTTAGATGACTATCACAAAGAGCCAAAGAACTTTGTTATAAATTCTTCCTTGGGGTATGCGTGCCTCTCTCTGCTCCCTTATTGGGCTTTTACACACATGCAGAGGTGTTCAAGAGCAGCCAGGAGAAAACTCAGTAGTGTGGCAGGGCTTTTTGTGGCACCTAACTGCATGAGGCCACTTGCTGCTCCAGTCAAGGAGACAGCTTCATACTGGTTGCAGACACCAGAAGTGTCAGAAGATGGGGAAACTCATCCTAGAATCCTTGGCTGCTTGTTTTTGAGGGACACAAGTTTAACATCTCCCAGCAGCAGATAAACCTGGGGCCATCTCAGCAGCAAAGCTCTCATTCACTGCAATAGCAAAGAGGAAGCTGAGGCTTGATGACTCCAGTGAAGGATGTCCACAGAGCTGTGACTAACCCTGCACCTTCACAGTCCAAGCTGCAGCTGCTCCACAGGGAGCTGCGGAGCTGTTTTGCTGGGTAAAATGCCATGTCTCCTCAAAGTCTGTGAGCTGTTTAATGGCTGAGATTATCTGTATTGCTGGGAGATGAGTTCCTGCCTTATCCTCCTTTCCAGGCATTTGCTCAGTGCACAAATGGCTGTGCTCACAGCTGACATCTTCTGTTACCGCCTTGGGCCCAGAGACAAATAGGTGTGATTGAATTCAGGTGATGTGCCCCACTGATACATTTGATCACCACATGAGAAATGGGAATGTGGCCTTTGAACTTCCTTGAAGGAGCTCTCTAGTCTGATCCTGCTCCTAAAGAGAAAAACCTTGGACCTCTTAATTATGCCCAGTCTTGTCATTCAGTTTTGCAAATGGTGATATGAAAGGTAGGGATACTAGGGGACATTAGATTCATGTTCCTTATTCTGAAATGTGTTCCAAACTTGACAGGTACTAAAATCTCCTTTTAGGAGTAATTAATTGCTGAAATTAATGAGTGGAGTGAAATCTGAAATAGTAATCTGGAGATTGGAAGGGGATTTCTAGTGCGGGTACAAAAATACCTGTTGTTCTCCCTTTTCCCAGAGCACATTACTAAACAGCCAGTATGAAAAGACCATCCATATTCTTTCAACACGTTTTGTACTACAAACCTTAGTCCCCTTTATAAATCTTACTAATCAGCTTTTTTCATCTCTTTGGATATGACCTGTTTGAAAGTACACTACACAAGCAATGCAGTGCTGAAGTTAAACTGAAGACTTGTCCAAAACACAATCACTGGCCAAACATAAATCATTTTGCCAGGATGATTATTTGGAAAGGATTATATTTGCTTTCTGCTGGAGTGATGACACCACGTCAGGAAATTTTATCCTGTTTTTATAGTTCATACAAATGGCCTCAATTTAAGAAATGAGAAAATATCACTTCCCACATACACAGGGTTTGGATGGAGAAGACAAACCTGACTGACATTGCCAACTCGGGATACATATTTTGATTGCAAGGTGGGCTGCTCAAGATGTGACTTGAGCTTTTAAGTGATTGTACTACTGAAGCAATCTTCTGCACGATTTTTGACCTGTCCTTCAGCTTTGGACTGACTTCTTGAACAACTTGGCAGAGATTGCTGGAGACTGGGGGGAAAGGGAAATAAGAAAAGGGAGTGCCTTGCCACTTTTCTTTGGAAAGGTATGCCTGCATACCAAAAACTGACAGGGTGGCGTGGGGTACGCGAGACGTCTGGAGCCTGAAAGGGGAGGTCAGATGGACTGATGGAAGAGTGGTCTGCTTTAGCCCAGTCTTCTGACCTTCATTCCTACAGTCATCCACAGCATCTCAGATCTTGGCATAGCTCATTTTGGCTGGCTGTTCCAAGGGTGCTCACCTTGGCCAGAAGAGCAGTTAAATAAAATTCATGAGCTCCTTTAGATCTCTACACATGAAGAGTGGATGAAAATATGATTTCATCATTACATTTATACAGATCATCTCAGTTTTCTCTGCTGCTCAGATTCCTGTTTACCTAACTAGCGTAATTGGAGAAAGTTTTCTGCAGTCACTGTGTGTTTTCTTTCCTCAGCATTGTTGATTTCTTTAAGATTTTATTTTATTTTTAGGCTTTCTTCAAACAGCTGTCATGGGCTTCTTTGATTTTTGTTTTTATGATAACTGCAAGTCACAACAAAGTATCTCTTCTCTTTATCACTTCTAAACCCTTCTAAATATAAATTCATAAGTGATCAAAATTCAAGAGGAAAAAGGCCTGATCTTGGTGGGACCTGGTTTATAACTCCTCAGTGCTTTGGGGCTGGCAGGCCTCTAAGTTGGGAAGTGTTTTGCAAGTCGTTTAAACTCCAGCTTTGATTAGAGCTATTAGTTTTGCCAGACAAAAGGAAGATATTTTCCTTCTCTTCCTGTGGGAAGCTTCAGAACAACATTTAACTGCCAGCTGGTCTTTCATGAGCACTCTCAGATTTGAAATCTATACATGCTTAACCTCAAGCTCTAAGCCCAGATGACTGCAAACTTAGCTTCCTGCTGGGCTGCCCCCCTTTCTGATGGCTGAACTGTTCTTCCCTCCTTGTTTGCTTGTGTTGGAAGCTGCTAATGCTCAAGAATTAATGATGGCAGAGGGGGACAAGAACATTACTACCGATTTGTAACACAGCCTTGATAACACAGTTTGGCTGAGCACACTTGTAGGTCCTAGAGACTGGACCATTTTTGAAAGACAAACTGCTCTTCCTTCTTTCTTCAAGTATTTGGAGATTATTTTCTTTTCCTCTGGGAAAGATTTGCTCTTAAACCTGCTGTTTTCAAACAAGCAGTAAAATGCTAAATCCAAGACTTGTTTTCTTGATACCCTTGGTTTACTCTGCAGACTTACTGTTTTTGCACCCTTACTGTATTTCTCCACTTGCAAAGCTGGTTAAGGGCCAGCACAGAGATTTCTCTTGTGATAAAACCTACCTTGTGATAGGTGTTCCCTTTTTGATGGAAAGGAAGGATAGAAGTGGTCAGTTACCTACAGTTCAATGTTCCCAATGATCTGTGTGAAGTGCACAGCATTGCTGTCATTCTCCAAGGCTCCAACATCTCAGAGTTTTGATATTGGAAGCAGTGTTGACACATACCCCTCATCTTGAATCGGTACTGAATGAACTCTGGGATCACAGATTCTGCACAGCAGCACAGCTTCAGTATCAACAGCAGTGAAATTAATGTTAAATCATAGTTACTCTGCACACAGCAATGGCTGGTGATCACCTTCCAACCAAATGTGAAGATGTCTTGAAGCCAAACTCTAGGTATTTTTGTGAAGAGCTTGATAGAGATTTTTTTTTTTAATTTAATATTTTACTTTCCCCTCTAATAACTCTCTTTGATCCCATGAGGTACCCTTTGGATTCTTGACCTGCCACCTGTATATAGTAGGAAAGGAGTCCTATTTGCACCAAAGCCTATCACAGATGCTTCTTGCTGGGTGGTAGCCAGACCAGTTGCAGAGACTGGCTTCTTACTGTGTACTGTAGGCAGAATCTGAACAGCACAAGCAAGAACCCATTTTAAAATTACACAGTTGTGAAAGGCACTCCAGAGTTTCCTTGTCTTTCTGCAGCTTGCTGTTCTTTCCCTTCTGCACTTCATTCACCAGGAGG